TATCTACTAAAATAACAATGGACATACCTATATGTCTTATTATTATCAGAGATTGTTCATTGAAATGTATTTGGAGGTCCAAACGAAAAAAAAACATAATTGATAATTTTGTTCCCGCCGTTTTACTACATGTTTGAAAAGGAGAGTGTTTTCGTAAGAATTATACTTTTATGTAACAATATCGGTCAGCAAGAGCAATTATGTGTATGCAACCTATACAACTTACTAAACTTGTTAAAATCTGCATTACAAGTGAGATTTCTTGTATAAATATATACCAACATGACCAATTTCCTAGGAAATAAATATTACACTGAGAAACCCAAAAAAACACGAAAACTCACTAAATGAATTGACAAAAAGTTAATTTTTAATGTTAAGCAGCCATAGCATATGTTTCATGGATTTCAGTCTTAAATAATGCAAGAACTGAAACTTTTGGTTAAGTCTTAACTGTTTGCATGATAAATGAACCAAAAAGGGCTGAAAAACCTTATTGTAGCAATTTAAAGGCTGTAATTTGACACAAACATAATTGTTACCAAAAAAATCAATGTAACATGATAATGAACAACAAACGTGACCAATTGTCATTGAAATGGATGTGATTTCTTAACTTTGAATTTCACATGACTTTCAGTAACCCAGTACAAAACCTGTGATATTGACTTCTGCTTTACTTAATTTCCTTCTTTGATATATTTCTTGGTCAAAAAACACATCAAGCTTTTTGAGAAGCACAATATCTGTGAATTCAAGCTCAATTTGGACTCGTAGTTTCCTATGCGTAATACATAGAACACTTCATAAGGATAATGATAGTGACCAATATCAGATATTTCAATTATAACAGTTATACAGCAGCAAACTTGTTATACTGACTTCTGCTTTACTTAATTTCCTTCTATGATATATTTCTAGTTAAAAAAAAACATCAAGCTTTTTACGAAACACAATGTCAGTGAATTCAAGCTCAATTAGGACTCGTAGTTATCTATGCTTTATACAAAGAAAACTTCATATGGATAATAATAGTGACCAATATGAGATATTTCAATTATAACCATCTATTTTTTGTTAATATCTTCTCAAATAACAATGTTCTTAACTGTATGTCTTTTTTTATCAGAGATTGTTCATTGAAATATATATAGTGATCCAAACATAAAATATAACTGATAATTGTGTCCCCTCCCCCCTTTTTACTACTTGTTCGAAAAGGTGTGTGTTTTGGTAGAAAAGCATACTTAATGTAAAACCCTGGATCAGCAAGAACAATTTATGAATTGATGAATACCAAAATCTCCTTAGTATTTTACTTTTTGACAAAGTTACAACTACGCGTAGGAACTATTTTGCTTGAACTACGTACTTATTTTGTATTGTTATTTCTTACCAGGCGCGAATTAGTGGTTCTACGCCTTAGATATAAGCTTGTTTTCGTCAATTTCTTTTTTTTTTTTTTTTTTTGGCGGGGGGGGGAGCTCAAATTCATAGACCTATTTCTGATATTTTTTACTACATACTTTCTGCTGTTGAGTCATTTACTTGTTTAAATCGTACCATTGCACAACGCTCAATAATATTTCATAACGCTTTAGGAGTTCCAAATTATTGCGCATCGACCATGAACTTTGACTTTCCGTTGTCCCTATAAAACACGTTCAACTGTTTGTTTTTCCACTTTATCTGATGATCCGAAAACTGGTCGAGTCGGTAGCTTGTGTTAAATGGATAAAAACGTTGAAACATTAAATTAACCAACAAAAGCTTTTTATGCGAGGCTTTTGGGAGACATTGGTCGATATGCAAAGGATTTAATGACTCGAAAACTTACGTATAAACCAAAACAGTTTGTATGTGCTGCTATGATTTCATTCTCGGAATTAAAGAGTTATGACTTCAAGGTAGTAACAGAGGCGTGGACAAAGTTACGTTCTACTGATTTCAATAATAATAATAAAAATAAGGTATATAATTATTTATCATGCAATAGATTGGTTATTCTATTAAATACTAATGTACATGGTGAAGCGAGATTGTTATCCCATCAAAACAATTTCAAAAATGACAGCAATATAAACTTTTTGAAACAAATGGAGGACCAGTTTGCCGAGGAATTTGGAGAGAACGAGAATTATATATTATGCATGTTTTCACATTACGTGCCGTGCACAATTGAAGGACACAAGTGTGCAGGACTTATAAGTGAGTTTTCAAACAAGCATCGAAAGCAAATTATTATTTCATACGATCAAGTTTATAAGGACACTAACCTAAATGTAGCTCTGCAGGTGATGAAATCAAGCAAAAACGTTTTCTGCATACCTCCTGTATCCTACAGGAATGCATGTATTAATTGAAGCACGGGACTTCATGGAAAAGACATGTGACAATTAAACGTAATCAACAGAATCTGTATATGTATCAAAGCAATCTGTAGGAAAGATAGTGTAATATAATATAATATAATATAATATAATATAATATAATATAATATAATATAATATAATATAATATAATATAATATAATATAATATAATATAATATAATATAATATAATATAATATAATATAATATAATATAATATAATATAATATAATATAATATAATATAATATAATATAATATAATATAATATAATATAATATAATATAATATAATATAATATAATATAATATAATATAATATAATATAATATAATATAATATAATATAATATAATATAATATAATATAATATAATATAATATCTTATTCTGCTGATTATTATTTATAATATAATATAATATAATATAATATAATATAATATAATATAATATAATATAATATAATATTGAAAAAACTTATTTGATATTATATTTAAAACACATTTTTTTATATTTAATATTGTAATAATGAAGACTGATTAGAAGAAAGCATAAGTATATAGTTACGTTATTATTGTAAACCTTAAAACACAATTAATAAAGAAGGACGTTATTATAGAATAATGAATGTTGATATGATTTTATACCAGTCGAAACAAATAGAACAAACCTGATATTAAGAAATTTGATTATTTCACTTGCATCTTTTGACAACATTGAGTGTGTTTCACGAAAATGAATAAAATCAATGTGTAGGTTAATAAAAGGTGAAAACAAGACTGAATTTCTTTGTCTAAGTATTGAACATAATACATGAAATAGTGTATGATTTATTAATATTTCTTCTTGAATATAATATAATATAATATTATACAATTTAATTTAATGTTAAAAGAATATAAGAATGAAAATTGGAAGTTAGACATTGTCTGATTAATGACAAGTTTGTCATTAATAACATCATGTACGAATGTTTTATTTGTATAGTGTTATAATGAAGTCATATTTTACATATGCACATTGTATTATCAATTATTTCTTTTTATATGAACACTGCATAATCTATGCATATTTCACATAAAAAATGTATATGATAAGTTCCTGTTGAGAGAAGATATTGTTATAAAATATTGTGATAATAAAGCTTATTACAACTATAAGAAAGCAAATGTAACCCTAAAGGATACCTGACATGAAATCGGGTTTTTGCCTTATTTTCTATAATTTGGCTTGAAAGATGTTTGTGTAAAGGTTTTTTCAACTAACTGTATCCAGTTTCGTATATATAGGTCAATTTAATTGACATCTCGTTGACCTGTGAAATATGCAAAAATTCATTGCGAAAACGAGGCTCTCGAGCCTGTGACGTCACAGGCACTTTACGACCATTCTGACTGACAGCATCAATCACTTATCTTATCATTAGCAAAAATAATCAAAATACGTTTTCGTGCAACACTGACATCAATGCAAACCAGCCATGGTGTATTGTGCAGCTTATGGGTGCAACAATGAAGCGAAGAAAGGCACTGGGATCAGTTTTTTTTCGTTTCCCAGCTGATGTTCAACTCCGGAAAGCGTGGACACATTATTGCAGAAGGTGGAACTTTGTAAATGGACCAAACCACAAATTATGTTCGGCGCATTTTTCCAAACAGAGTTTTACAAAAGATCCAGATTTGATGTTACAACTTAAAATGACATACAAGCTAACTCTACGTCCCGACGCAAAGCCCGATGTACCTGTACCTGACACCTGATTCAAAGATGGCGAGAAGCTGAGCATCCCCACCAGGAGAGGTGCTTTTGAGAAACGTCTAAAAGGCAGAGGTAAATTTTATTTTTGTCTACGGCATTTTATAGTTTCATGTTTTTATTATAGATATGTCAGATCATTTATATGTTATTTAACATTGATCGTGTTTAATTATTTAATCATTGCACACAGCTTCAATACTAATTTCGATTCAGGTGTGCACATGCCAGGTGTGTGTACACGCGCCATTGATCAGCTGTTAGCAGGTGGTCAAGCGATTAGTTAAATACCTGATTACAGAATTTTCTCGCTAAATGTTTTACAGATACGCGGTTTTTCATTACACGTGGGAAAGAGTAACAACTTTCTAAAGGGGTTTGTGTATTACAGTAAATACATTCCACTTCAGTGATGACGGTGAAATGTAATTATACAGGTAAACAGGTAAATGGGTGAATCGCGTATTGTAAGACACAGGTGTGTGCATTTATTAATATTTATATAAACAACTGTGAAATCTGTTTGGCAAATTTTACTAACTTATTTAACTATAAATTATTTTTTTTAATTGTTATTAAAATGTGAAATTTAAGTGATGAGCATATAACTTATACTTATTTACTTGTCTTCAAGTTCACATATATGCACAATGAGTTTCACTAATTTTAAAATGTATGTTACAGATTCTACAAATGGCATTTGACAGTCATGTAAGAACCCCGTCTCCAGAGCAAAATGACACAGCCACATCGGTCCAGTTGGATGACACTGACGTTCCTACAACTATGTACTCCAAGTGATACAGTTGAAGTAATACCACAGCCGAACATGACAGTGGAAACATCTCCTCCTAAGCTTATTACATCCGTCAGGATGGTGAATAAGAAGCTTCAAGTAAAATTGCAGCCACAACGGAGAACAAGGGTCACCAGACAGACAGCAAGATAACAGGTGTTATGACTGTCCAGACAAAGACTTTTAGCACAGTAGCAACCCAGACAGATGAACCATCACCCAAAGAAGCAGAGAACCCTAGCGACAGTGATGATGATAGTGCAGAACCTGAAGATAGTGATGACTCAGACTACAATCAAACAGATGATGAAATGAGGTATATAAATAAGTTGTATTGTACATGTTGTAGGTTTTATATTGTTGGATTGATTTAGTATATTATTGATATTCATCACATTCATCAGTGAATATTTTCAATATAAAAATGAAATAGTTGCAAGGTTTTAAATTTTTTTTTTAAATCTTGAAACATATAATTAGTAAGTATGACATGTATGATTGCCAATGAGACAACTCTCTACAAGAGACTAAAAGACATAGAAATTAAGGACAATAGGTCACTGTGCAGCCTTCAACAATAAGAAAAACCCATACCACATAGTCAGAAGTCTATTTCCATAATAAACGATTTACATGTAATATACCATTTAAGGATTTTCACTCAGTCGAAAGGGTATATATAAACCATATAAGTAGATCATATCGAACGTGTCCTCAGACTTCATCCTCTCTCAATATAATTTGAGAATCAGTCAGTCCATATTGACCTTGTCAAAAGTCCAATGATCTAAACAGTCATTTAGAAATATTTTTTTTTATTTTCCAGTTCTGATGATGATTCAGATACTGAGTCTGAAATGAACTACAAACTCAACTCCAAGGCTACCCCAGCTGAAGAAAAACAGTTCATGGTGAGTGAGTCAGCACTAGCCGAGCTCTTATCTGTTTGCCGTTACTGCTCTGGGGAAGCTGTTGCCCTTATAAAAAATACCAGAGGTTCCATGGTTGTCACCAACACAGTCTGTTTGAATGGGCATGTATCCATCTGGACGAGTCAGTCTTGCCACAACACCTTAACATGGGGTAATCTGATGACAGCAACTGCCATCCTGTGTAGCGGTTCCAACTCAAGTAAGGTTCTTCAGATGTTTCAACACCACAACATGCAGACGATATCTTCAAGAACTTACAACAGACTGCAGACTTTGTATGTTTCTCCATCTGCTTCTATGGCCTGGGATGCAGAACAGACAGCACTTCTCACAGAACTGTATGACAAGGAAGTTATTGTTGGTGGGGATGCAAAATGTGACTCTCCTGGTTATTCGGCAAAGTACGGGTCATACACCATCATGGATTTGGAGACCAGCAAGATTTTAGACTTCCAATTGGTACAGGTATGTTGAAATAAGATGAAAATCATCAGTCCGAATAAAAAAATAAGCTTTCTTTAAATATTTTAATTTGGAAAAGACGATAACTCCAAGTATCTGAGAAAAAGATATACTGGGTAAACACCAACTCAAGAGAGCATGCCAACAAACATTGTATTTGTTTTTATATGAAGTAAGTCAGAAATTTACCAATTTTTTCAGTACACAAAAAAATAAATTGAAAAAAAAAGTTCTTTTATCTTGTTTACGGTTGTTGTATTAACATTGTGGCCAAAATATATATTTTTGTATACATATATTTAAACCAAAGCAGTTCATGTTTTAAAACGTCCTTATTTTTTTACAGTGTAATGAAGTGAAAGGCTCTGCACATGTGGAGTTGGAAGGTTTGAAGAGGTCCATCAGATACCTAGAGGACATGATGCACATCAACATTAAAGATCGAGTAACGGACAGGCATTCTTCAATCAAGAAGTTCATGCGTACAGAGCAAGGCACAACAAACCACCTGTTTGATGTATGGCATGTAGCTAAAAGTAACTATAAATTTGTCATTTAAGCCAACAACATATATGATAAGATTTAAATACTTTTAATGCAAGAAAAATTATTATATTATTTTATTTATTAAATTTGAAAATTTGTACAGTACATGTACTAAGCTACCTCGTCCTGAACATGCATGAAATATTTGCCACTGGACGTTAAGCAACCAACAATCAGTCAATGTACTAAGCTACCAACTCATATCAATAATTTGCAAAGTCTGTTTATACATTATCTCTTTTATTTTGCAGGAATATCTAAGAAGCTGGAAGCTGCTGCAAAGAGGTCGGGCAGTAAGGACATTCGTCCATGGATCAAGTCCATAGTCAACCACATCTATTGGATATCGTCTTCCTGTGGTACTAACGGAGACCTGAAGTTGGCAAGATATGAGGTCGATTGTAAACTACATCAGCAACAAACATGAGAACCACTCCATACTTTATCCGAGATGTGAGCACCAGTCTATCACAGTAGACCGACAGTGGTTAAGTGAAGGTAAAATCTGTTCTCTTTATTCTCATAAAAAAATCAAGAAGAAAGAAAACCAATATAGAAATATCTTAACCTTGTTTTTTCATTGAAGTAATTTAATATGATACACATATATCAAAACAAGGCGGGTGTACATAAAACATGAAATGACATATTTCAATATGATAAAAAAGAACATTCAATAATGAATATAGTTAAATGATTAGAAAAAAAAATGTAATGTTTATTGGTAATTCATGTTTCAGGCTTAGTTCCATACAAGAGACTAAAGGACATTGTGGAAAGCAGGTACCTATTGGTAGATGTACCCACGTTATCACCTGTTTACCAGACATATTCCTTGGAGGTGTTCCATTCTTTGGTGAACCACTTCTGCCCAAAGAGCACCCACTTCTTTTACCCAACAATGTTGCAAGGTAATAACTGATAAAGTTAATTTTATAAAAATCAGAAGATGTGGTATGATTGCCAATAAATCAACTATCCACTGGAAACAAATAACATAGAAGTACTAGTAACTATGATTTCTATATATAGGTCACTGTGCAGCCTTCACCAATTAGCAAAACCTGCACTGTATAGTAAGCTATAAAGTTTGTATTTTGTGTTACCAGTGCATGCAATACTGTATTTCATACAATGAGCAGCTAGAATTGGATAAAACCAACTCTGCGATTTATAAGAGAAACTGTTTAAACAAATGTTGTATTTCCTTATTAAAATATTATACAAACAATATACTAGTTATGCAAATGTCAGAAATATTGTCTGACTAATTCATGTATTCATATTTACAGATTGAGTATTGCCGCTCTTCATTATAACGAGAACAGTGGGCGACAGCAAGCAAAAACCAAGACTAGGGAACAACGTTTCAGTATGTGTTACCCAAAGGCCAAAAAGGGTACTGAGGCAGTGGTCAAGCCAAAGAAGACTGCAACAACATTTGGTAAGTATTTAAATAACATTAATGGTAATTTTACTGCACCAGATGTCTATTTGTACATTTAAAGTATCTTCAGTGATACACTATGCGAAAAGATTTAAAAAGTAAATTTAAACCAGTACAATTAATCCAAGCTATGGATAAGGGAAGTAAGTTTGATATTGAATTCAATTATTTAGATATACATGTATATCATAAATACTTCTTTGACAATTAAAAAAATAAGTTGTGGCTTCTTTTTTATTTGTTAATTCATAGCATTATCTATTTTTTTTCTTCAGTTTATGTGACACTTATCAAATAGGCTGTGGTAGAGAGACGAAGAGAAGAGTTCACATCATATACATCTGCTACTGGTGATGTGCGTGTTTACAACAATCACCATCCAGATCACATGACATCAACATTCACCCCGTTCAGGAAGATCGACCTTATTCAGAGACACAGATCACGATTTCAAAGACAGTAAATAATGGCCCATCTCTTTTTCAGCCACGAAAAAGAAAGAAAAAACCAATTCTTATTCAAATTTTAAAATTTTAATAGTTAAATAAATGAATTTGTCATACAACTGCATACTTAAAACCACAATATGTCTCTGATGGAAAAGTTTCTCTTATTTTTATCACCACACATGCTGGTAATATCTTTCTGTTGTGTCGTCCTAGTCTATGCCAAATCTATTGAACAAAACGTCTGTATGCCATGAAGCGGTACCGCCTGTAGATAAAAGTTTCATGTTAAAACTAGTAAAACTAGTAGATTGTAGTAAACTTTATTTCAAGCATGATAATTGAAAATATGAAATTGTTCATAAATAAACATATTATTGTATTTGTATATATAAATGTTGCATTAATAAGAATATTATTGTCATTGTAAATATAGAATTGTTGCATAAATAAGAATCTTATTGTATCAATTGTATATAACTTTTATTATGATGCATGTTAATAAATTTGACAAAACTAATACTGTATTCTAATTGACTGTTAAAGTTGTATTTCTATATTCTGATGGAATTTGTGTTCTTTGCTTCTGTCGGGTGAATGAATAATTTACAGATTTTTTCATGCATAATGACATCTAAATAAAAAGGAGATGTGGTATGACTTCCAATGAGACAAACATCTACCAGAGTTCATAAGGATTTTGATGTCATAAGGCATTCATTAGATTCATATGGTCACTCTTAGTACATTTGCCAGGTCCTGTTCGTGGTGCTAAGTTATCTCAAAACAATGTAAGAGATTTGAGTTTTATGTCTTGTTATTGTTTTAGAATTGGTAGTTTGCATGTTTAAAAGGCCTGACCGTTTGGATATATTTTGGACTCTTTGATTCAGTCAATGCATGGGGTTACATTTTTCTACATCATGACAGATCGTTCGATTTTAAGTTATGGGAGCTCGTAATGAAAAGTTAAAATGAGACAGCAGCCTACCAACACGTGCAATATGCAAGTTATCACGAAGGTTTTTATTGAATATGCCAGTTATCACAAAGGCTGAAAATGAATATGCAAGTTCAACATAAATGTAGTAACAAAGAAAAAAAACATTTACTCATTTATTGGCTCGTTGTCATCAAAAGGTCCTACATTTTCCAGGTAAGCATACATGCTAACCTGTAAAACGTGACTGTTGAGGCAGTTGGCAACAAACACTTCGTGTTATGTTATGCACTGCAGGTCTTCCGGTTGAATGTGGAAACTTACAGCTGATACATTCGAACAACATGTACATTCTTCAGATGTTGTCATGGGTTCACAATTCCCACAGTCACACCTATACTGATAACAGCCGAAAACAAAATATAGGCCTGTACATATAGTACCAAACTACTTCAATATTGATAGGATACTAGATGCCGTGTATACGAAACAAATGGACAAGTTAAAAAAAATAATGACCAAATGCATTTAAACTCTAAAGAATTTCCCCTTTTACATGTATATTTCTACAATCTACATTATAATAAAAGTTGACATAAAAAAGCAATCTGTGTGTGATTTTTTAAACATAAAAATGTACAATTTCGGATGGGAGGCGCAGGTACAAGTATACGACTTTCGGTTCAATTAAACACTTTGTTTATAAAAAGATATAACTTAATTTCAAATTTGGTTTGAAACAAAAATAATATAAAAAAGGAACAATAATAAGTAAATACGAACCAGTCGGTGTTCATTAGGCGGTTTTCGGCCTGAGACAATTCGTCGATGTCCGAGGTCTCTGACGAGGAATTACTGTCTTCTCCGGAATTAATTTCGTTGCCTGGTGGTTCGAATTGGTACGGACGTATATCTACTAATCTAGAAACATTGGGAATATCACTTTCACAGCTGTCCATACTTCCTATCATTTAATTTCTTACAACTCTTCAACCGCTGACCACTGTCTGACCCAGAAAGTGCCTGTGACGTCATCGGGTCACGTGATCGCCTATCTAATTAAAATTTATAGGTCAGGGGACGCGGTGATTACAAAACATGTAATTAGTTTAATTTGGCTTTTTTCTACAATTATTTTGTTTGAAATGTGTTTATATTGTATAATTGAGTTAAAACTAATTGATTTTTGTTTATTTTAAAAATCGTGTCAGGTCTCCTTAAAGTTATTTATAAAGACGTCACAAAACGATACAATATACGAGGACAATATTTTATAGAAATATCAAAGGTTGACATGAATTTAGAAAATACTGGTTTACGTCCATTCAACAACAACCATTCTGTATGTATGTGCCTGTCCCAAGTCAGGAGCCTGTAGTTCAGTGGTTGGCGTTTGTTGCTGTGTATCATATTTGTTTTTCGTTTCATTTTTTTGTACATTAATTAGGCCGTTAGTTTTCTCGTTTGAATAGTTTTACATTTGTCATTTCGGGGCCTTTTATAGCTGACTATGCGGTATGGGCTCTGCTCATTGTTGAAGGCTGTACGGTGGCCTATAGCAGTTAATTTCTGTGTCATTTGGTCTCTTGTGAAGAGTTGTCTCATTGGCAATCATACCACATCTTCTTTTTTATACATACGTTATAATACGGTCCTCAACAATTGTTTATACCTAGTATATCATGCACTAAATGGTCCCGAGTCATTCACAGTTCTGAACAAGTTTAGAAAAGACAAGCAGTGATCTACTTGGTTTCAACCGACAGTCATTGTCAATTTCAAAATGTAAGTCAGGATATGAGGTAGACTTAACTGTATCTCTTGTACCCTTTATTTCAAGTTCGATGGAATACATATATTCAACGTAGTCACCAAACTTTAAATTATTGAGTGAGGACATCATCTATATGGCCACAGACCACAATTAATTCCCCCTATCAGTTCTTTATAACGTTTTGTCGCATTAAAAAGAATTTACCTGTTTTTTTTGTCAAATCTTGTGTGTGTGTACTGCACAGTACATTACCAAAACTTTATCCAAGTTTCAGAAAAATTGAACCCTTACATCTGTAAATATTACCTTTTTGCACCTGGCCTAATCACTCTTTCCATATCAAAATCAGTTAAAATAAAACATCCAAAAATTTATTTTAGCTCTCTTCTTTCATTTCCACCTTATAAAAACTAAGAAATGTATGAGAAAAGGTAAGAAAAAAATTAAGAAAAAATACACTTTAATTAAAGGGAACTATATTCGTGGACAACGAAAAGCGGGATCATTAATTGTGTTTTGGAGCCTATTAGGGGTCAAAAACTTGACCAACATGTGAGGTAGAGTCTACTCTCCTTCCAGAGTGCCTCCAGTTTTTGGTGTGGTTCGTGTTGCTCAGTCTTTAGTTTTCTATGTTATGTTTTTAATACTGTTTGTCTTTTTTTAATGGCGTTGTCAGTTTTTTCTCGACTTATAAATTATTATGTCACTTTATTATCTCTCACCTCTTTTTTCCTCATTATTCAGATAATATATCTGGGTCAATATCCCTAATGCGCCTCCAATTGAGGAATATAAAAGTTGTGTGTAAACAAAAAATCTCTGTGTAGTGAAATTGGACATGTTTCAATTTTTAACAAGTGACTGAGCTTAACCATTTGTATTGATCTTGAAAGTAGAAGAACATAGAATAAATGTGTAAAAACTATGGAGTTATTAAATGTATTCAAAGTATTAAATTTTCAAAGAAATTATTGTGTGAAAAAAGGGATTTTTTACCATGAAGAGCCGCATCACGAAAGGATTTTCGGGGTATGCTAATCAACGGAAAAATGAATCACACTTCGTACCCCGAAAATTTAACCACATATGTGAAAATGTCTCAGCTTCGAAACGAGCCATCATACATATCCAAGTTTACGATATGGACTGAGCTAGAGAAGAAAACGTTACCATTACCGCCTATGTAGAAACAATTGCGCATATTGCGCCAATTTAGGAGATGAATTTAAGAAGTTAAAAGACTGATTTATGAATGATTGCATATTGTACACCAGAGAAAATTGTGAAAATGAAGGTTAGTTGTCTTTT